GGGCATGTATATTCAAGCATAAGGCTTGGGAAAGCTCAGAAAAGTCCCAGAGATGGAGCCTGAAGTGACTTCCTAGCAACCACATTCTCTCTGTAGTCCTGGTGCTGGCAGCTTACAGAGGTGAGGGTCTTTTAAGAGGCCATGCTGTGCAGCCAAGCTATGAGTAGGGGCTATGAGAAGCTGGCATATTACTTGTTGGGAGATTAGGTAGATAGGCCTGGCCCAGTGTGGGACCAACAACTTTCCAGAGCAAGGGCAGGTAGGCATAGCTTTTGGCTGTTGCCTGTCGGCATGAGGTTTGGCTTTAGTGGAAGGGCAAGCAACCCAGAATCAGTGGAGTAGCCTGTTGGAACAACCCAAAGGGGGTTTAGCCAGCCACCAGCAGCATGTGCTAAGCAGAATCATAGAAGGAGCCTACAGATGCACAGAACAGCAAAAGAAACTTTTTTTCAGAGCCACCTTGCACAGATGCCACAGTCTCTCTGGCAGTCTTTTGAGTGTTGTCTGTGGGCAACTGCTCAATCCTGTTGGGTTGATGGAGACAGGGGGTCTGGCCCTTTAAGGCCTTGGCTCATGCAGTCAGAGAATGGCATCAGGCAAGCAGAAAGCCAGGTCCAGATCCAGAAAACCTCTGAACAGGTACAGAATGACTGAAAATGTGCTTAATTGTCAATAGAGTAAAAAAAAAAAAAATGAATATAGACATTAAGAGGGAAAAATAGTTTGAAAATAATAAATTGAAGTTTTTAAAGAGAGAGTGAAGTAACATAAAAAAGAATAAGCCATGTAAGGATAGAAAATAACTTAATAAATAAATTTGAACCCTATATACTGCTTTATTTACTTTAAAATTTTTAAATGCTATTGAACAAAAACAACAGCTACTGAGAGACATTGGGTTGTGGGAAAAACTGCTGAATTAAGCCATGCTATATATTTTAAGGATGTCTTAACTTCAGAATAATAGTCAGGAAATGTGTTGTGTTGGGGGAGAGGTTATGCCTTTGTTTCCACAGGAAACAAAAAGCTATGGATTCTTTCAAAATTAATAAAGATCGGATTTGACTAGAAGAGATCACCTGAAAATCTTAGCTGCAGACATCAAGAAAGAATCCAGCCCCAAACAAAAACAAACAAAAAACCTAAATGACAGGTAACATATATGCTGATCTCTTTACATGGGAACAGCTCTGAGACTGGATAAGACAAGATTAATCTTGTTAGCTACAGAGTCCTCATGACAATTTGTTTATGCAGTACAAATGAACTTATAAAGTTTACAGCTGCATTTAACCTGCTCAAACATAGAGCAGAGAATCATCATCAGCTGATTTGTGTGCATCACATATTCCATACTTTAAAAGTTTGTGTGTTTTCAGAAAAAAAAAATGACAAGGCTTCAAAGAAGACAAGACAAGTAGACCAGGTGATCCAGTCTCACAGAATGCCTCCATTGTTGTTTCCTCAAAAATCTGCATCCAGAACTACATCAAAGTGTCTAGCTGAGATGGTTCACCCACACAGTCTACTTCAGTCAGGATTTCAGTTAAGCTCTGCACTTTTCCCATCACACAGAGACTAGACAACAAATGATACAGCTAGCTCTCATGGACTTGGTTATTATTCCAAACTTCTCAGGGTCCTTTAAAGACAACAGAAAGCAATTTTAAGATCACAATGCCCACATTCACAAGAGATGGGATAAAAGGTTTTTGCTCATTTTGTAGGTAATAGATGTTTGTCATTGTTTAAGGGGATTAGTTGCAAGTTGTTATTGGTCATGGTCAGGGAGAAAATAAAGCAAAAGAGGTTAGATTCTGGAATTTCTTTCTGAAAAGAAAAACAAGGGGGTTATAAGAATATGATAAAATGGTGGATTATTGAATCTTCTTTTAAATTAAAAAGCAACTACTAGTCTCAAATATTTTACAATGGTATGGATTTTTATATTGATACAAATTTAAGGTTACTTTTTATTATAATATATATATATATATATATATATATATATATATATGTTTCTACTCTTGTTTAAGGTATTGTACCTATGCAGTTTATTTCAAAATGTAATGTAAAGTTCCAGGCTTGAAAACTATTATTACAAACTATTTAGGATAATTAAGAAATGCAGGTTAGTAGTTAGTCATCTATAGAAATCAAACTTGTAGTCATGATAGGTATGTTTTCAAGGTTAAAAAGATATATTTTAGGTAGATATGTAGTCTTCAAACACTTCAGAGATGTAAAGAATATGTCATCTAATACGTTTTACTAACAAGGTTTTTCATGACAGCAAGATACAAATCTGCTTCTGGTAGGACCGATCTAATTCACTGAAGATAATGGGCATCAAAAAACTCTCTATAAGAGTTTGCTTTCAATGTGGCAAAGCTAGCCACTGGGCAAGAAACTGTCCTTGCCTTTACCCTTGACAGAATGCTGTCTAAACTAGACAACCAGGGCACAAAGGAAGTGGACTGTGAACTATGCTAAGACAAAATAGGAGAGTCCTTCAATATCCCTGCTACAGAAAAAAGCTGTCAGATAAAGTCTTAGGCCTTTAATCAGGAGGTGGATGCTTCAATGTTGCAGAGGAACCTTAGGTGACTGTCCAGGCAGCTGTCTCTGTCATTTCTATAATTTTGGAAGTTGTGTACTCTGCATTTCCTATTTACTCAGGTAATATTTTATTCTTCTCAGGTCTCTGATAGGGTTGAAGAATAGATAGTTATAGTTTTACAGTTTTCTTTATTACCAAATTCAAAAAAGAAACTCACAAAAAATATGTAAAGCTTATAAAGGTTGAGAGACATAAAAGCTCAAGTTGTTTATCTAAGAAAATGTTTTAAGGATTAAAAAGATATTTATTTTGGTAATACAAGTTATGATAGAAATTAGGTTAGGTACAAAACTTTGGACTTACCAAGATAGGATAGATAATAGAATACTTGCTCCAAAGTTTTCAAATACAAATGAACTGGATATTGTGAATGTAATACTCATCTCATAATTGTTCTTTTGTATATAATTTATTGATGTTAGAGAAAGAGCCTTTTTTGGACTAAAAGGAGGATATGTTGGGAAAATATTTTTGTACACTGTGTGAAGATGTATCTCTGTCCTTCCTCATCTGCTTAAGATACCTTCTTATTGGGTTAATAAAGAGTTAAACAGCAAATAGCTAAGGAGAAGAAGATAGGTGGGACTTCCATGGAGAGATAAGTCTGGGAAAGAGTCTGAGGTACAGGATATTCTCCAGCCAGACATAGAGGAAGCTGGACATATGGTATTGCTGAGAGGTAATGAGCCATATGGTAGAATGTAGATTAATATAAATGGGTTAATATAAGTTCTCAGAGCTAATTGAGAACAAACCTAAGCTAAGACCAAGCTGTCATAATTAATAAAAAGTCTCCATGCCATTATTTGGGAGCTGGCAGTCCAAAGAAAGACCAGTTATAGATCCAGCTGCCTCTGGTGTCTCTATCTGCTCAGTATGGGGTTACAAGTGCACATCATCATTCCTGGCTTTTCTACTTGGGTTCTGAGGATTCAACTCATTTCCTTGAAAATGTGAAGTAAGCACTTTATGGCCTGAGCCCTCTCCCTATCTGCCTGATTTTTCTTTTTGTGATAAAGTCTCATCTCATAGGCCAGGATGGCCTGGAACTCCTTGTGTAACATTAGCTGGCCTTGACCTAATGTTAATTCTCCTGCTCCAGCCTCTCAAGTGCTTGGATAACAGGCTTGAGCCATCATGTGTATGTAACCTTACAATTTTATATATATATATATATATATATATATATGTACTTTTTGTGGCATTTCTATTTTATTTTTTCAAGGGGTGTAGAATTTTCCTTTTTGATTTTTTTCAAATGTTGTTAAGAAAAATATGAATTTTGTTTGAGGAAATATTTTTAAAGCCCTTTCATTCTGTATTATTTCTTGTTGATTTTTTTTTGTTTAAATGATGTGCCCATTGATGATAGTGTCGTATTGGTCTCCAATTGTTTTATATTTGAATCTATGATTGCCATAATAAAGAGCTGAATGGCTAATAGCTCTGCAAGAGAAAGGATAGATGGGGCTGGCCAACAGAGAGAATAAATAGGAGAAATCTAGATTCCAGTGAGAAGCAAGAAAAGAAGAAGGAGAGGAGGACACCAGGCACCCCCCGCCCCCGCCCCAGCCATACAGCCAGCCATGGAGTAAGAAGGAAAGAAAGGCATATAAAATAAAGATATGTAAAAAGCCCAGAGGCAAAACATAAAGTGAAAACTGCCTGACACAGTGCAGGGCACCAGCATTTCAGAGCTGTGGGTTGAAAGAAGTTCCTGGTCAAATGCACCTCTGACTGGGCCTGCAAAGTTTAGGCTTGGCTTTCATGACCAGAGAAGCAGGCAGAGCCAGCCACCAAAGCTGTTGAGGAAGTCCTAGTCATGACATTTAGCAGTTTAAAGGCTCACATGGTCAGAAAAGGATAGAGATGTGCAGTAAGACAGATCCAGATAGAAAAAAAAAAAAAAAAACCTCTGAACAAGTTTAAAAATGTGTGTCGACTTAAGAAAGAAAGAAAAAGAATATAGAAAGTTATAAAAAATGAATAGTGTAAAAATATTAAAGTTTCTAAAGAGAGAAGTAAAGTAATATAAAAAGAGTAAGCCATGTAAAGATGAAAAATACACAGGTAGTCTGGATTCTATAGAGTATTGTGTTGATTTTGAATTTTTAGAATGCTGATGAGCTAATGACATCTGCTGAGAGACACAGGACTGAAAGAGGGACTACTGAAATAAATCAGCCTGTATGTTGCTGGGGGGCTTCTCTCCAGGTTCCCCAAGCCCCGCAGTCCCACAATCCACATATAAAATAATCACTCAGATGCTTATATCACTTATAAACTGTATGGCCGTGGCAGGCTTCTTGCTAACTGTTCTTTTATCTTAAATTAACCCATTTTTATAAATCTATACCTTGCCACGTGGCTGGTGGCTTACCAGAGTCTTTACATGCTGCTTCTCCTGGCGGTGGCTGCAGTGTCTCTCCCCTCAGCCTTCCACTTCTCAGAATTCTCCTCTCTCCTTGTTCCACCTACTTCCTGCCTGGCAACCTACTTCCTGCCTGGTCACTGGCCATCAGTGTTTTATTTATATAGAGCAGTATCTACAGCACCTATATATTTTAAGAATACTTTAACTTAAAAATGAAAGTAAAAAATGTATTTGTCAAATGGGAGTCAAAAAATGCTTTGGGGAAGAGGTTATGCTTTTGTTTCCGAGGGAAATGAGAGGCTGTGGATTTTTTCCAGGTTAATATGCATCAGCTTTGATCAGAGGAGACCTTCTGAATCTTGACAGGTGATAGACATCAACAAAGGTTAGAGCTAGTCTTCCCTGGATTTGGACATTATCTCAATTTTCTCAGGGACCCCTGAAGATGCCTTCACCCGCAGACAATAGGAAGCAGTCTAGAGAAAATGGCACCCACATTCCCAAGAGGCTGGGTGGGTGGTTGTTGTTTATTTGGTGGGTTGTGAATGCTATCATTTAGGGGAATATAGGAATTAGAATGCAAAGACAACTATTAATCTAAGACATTTTGCATTGGCATGGATTTTGGTATATTGATACAAATTTAAAGTTATTTTTGTTATACTAGATATATGTTTCTACTCTTGTTTGGGATATTGTGCTTGTGCAGCTCATTTTTAAAATGTAATGTATAATTAAGAACACAGTTGGTAGTTAACTGATAATAATCAAACTTGTAGTCATGTTAGGTATGTTTAAAAGGTTAAACAGGTATGTTTTAGAAAGATAGATGATTTTTCAAATACTTCAAAGATTTTCAAACACTTGAGAATATGGCTTTAAGATGTTTAATAACCTAGGGTTTTTCATGATAATGAGACACATCTGCTCCTGGCAGCACCAATTTACTTCATAAAAGGATGATGGGCATCAAACATCATATGGAGTTTGTTTTCAACGTGGCAAGGCTAGCCATTTGGAAAAGAAACTGCTCTTGCCTTTACTGCTGACAATATGCTGTAAAGACTGCACCAGCAGGACACAAGACAAAGACTATTGAACTTTGTCAGTCAAGGAAGGACAGTCCTTTGAGATACCTGCTTTATAGAAGAGTCTGCCAGATATTCTGCAGGACACATAGGAAAGCGACTGATGAACTTTGCCAAGATAAGGTTGGACAGTCCTTCAAATTTCTTGATTCACTGAAAAGTCTGCCTGATATTCTAGGCCTAGAGGCCAAAGATGGATGTCCCAACATTGCAGAAGAACTTTGGGTGACTTCCCAGCCAACCAAATGTCTCTGTTGTTAGATAATATTATATCCTTTTGGGTCTTTGATGGAGTTAAAGACTAAATAATTAGAGTTATAGTTTTCCTTAGTCATGATAGAAAGTAAATTAGGTATAAACCTTTGGAATCACCAAAATAAGATAGATAATGGAGTATTTCCTCTGAATTTTTAAATCCAAATGGACTGAATATTTGAAACATATTCTTACTTGATAACTATTTTTGTTGTATATAGTTTTACTATGTTAAAGTTAAAGCCTTTCATTTTTATTTAGACAAAAGGGGGAAATGTTAGTTTATGATGTGTTACATTTGTTTATGCTGTGGAATGTTTATCTAATGATGCAAAGCTATGTTACATTCTTTTATGTTACATTTGTTTAACTCTGTAAAGATGTGTTACTTTGCCTGCCTAAAAATACCTGATGGTCTAATAAAGAACTGAATGGCAAATAGCTAGGCAGGAGAAAGGATAAGTGAGGCTATCAGGTGGAGAGAGTAAATAGAAGGAGAAATCTCGTCTTGAATGAAGAGGAGAAGGAGGAGTGAGAAAGGAGAGGAGGACACCAGAGGCCAGCCAAAGAGTAAAAAGGAAAGAAAGATAGATAGAATAAAAAAAGGTTAAAAAGAAACCCAGAGGCAAAGCATAGTTAAATGAGATAATGGATAGTTTACGTTAGGAAAGCTGGCTAGAAACAAGCCAAGCTAAGGCTCAGCACTCATAAGTAAGAATAAGTATCCATGTGTTTATTTGGGAACCAGGTGTCAGGCTCCCAAAGAGAAAGAAGTAAAAAAAAAAAAAAAACAACTTAAGTATGTCTTTTCTGAGGAGATGGAGTTTTTTGTAACTAGCATATGATTGAATCCTGCTTTCCTTAATGCATTTAGCCAGCCTATATATTTAGTTACCAGATTCAGTCTATAGCTAGTAAGTTATTTCTGTTATTTTGCTTTCTGGTTGATTGTATATCTTTTGTTCATTTCTTTCTTGCTCGCTATTTTCATTTCTGGATGTTCTGTACCAGTTAGTTTGGATATCATTCATGTTTTCATGCTGTAACTTATGTTTGTTTCTAGATGCCAGATTACCTGAAGCATTTCTTACAATGACACTTTAGTGGTGATGAATTCCTCCTTTTTTAAATGTCTTGGAAAGACTATTTCTCCTTCATTTCTTTTTTTTTGTGATCATTTATTTACTCTTTGCTGAAGTTCTAGGCTTCAGTGACCATTCTGTCTCTGTGTCCTATGTATCTGAGATATAGTTCCCTGATACCATGCCCAGATTTCCCTTCATTGCTGACAGATCAATTTGTTGGTCAGAGTATTCCTAGCTGGTAGGTTCATTTTACTTTCAGCCATCTGTATTTTGTCATCTGTTTTGTTTTGTATTGTTTTGAAGTTCTGTTTGAGGCTGGCCTAGAGGTTGCTATGTAGATGAGGCTAGCCTCAAATTCAAAATCCTGCTATCTCAGCCTCCTTCCCAACCCCACCAATGCTGGGAGTACAGGTGGGCATCACTATTCCTCGCTGTAGAGAACATTAGACACTCCTGTTCTGAAATGTTTCTACTCTGGAATCTGGTGTTAGTTTAATGGTGATCTTCTTACATGTGACTTGATATTTTCTTTTCTTGCTTTTAGAACACTTCTGGGGGATTTTGGCACCACGGATATAATGTATCATGGAACTGGCTTCATTAAAGTGCATCTAACTGGCTTCTTTTATTCCTTTTTTTAGTAAGTGTGCCAACAGTGGGTTTCTTAGTGATATTTTCATGCATGTGAATCAGTGTGCTTTGCTTACCTTCATGCTTGCCCATGCCCTCTCTTGTCCCCCTGCTGTGGGATGTTCTGTATGTCCTGTGGGAGCCCTTCTTGGGTTCTTTGTGGCGTTACCCAGCAGGTCCGCATAGAGGATGATTAAGACCATGGGCCTTAGTGCAGGTGTCTGAGATGGTCTGCACTTGGCTGTGCTGGGGGATGGTCTGTATGTCAAGTTGTTCTGATTGATCAATAAATAAAACCTGATCGGCTGTGGCTAGGCAGGAAGGATAGGCGGGACTAACAGAGAGGAGAAATAAAAGGACAGGAAGGCAGAAGGATGGACTGCAGCCGCCGCCATGACCAGCAGCATGTGAAGATGCCGGTAAGCCACCAGCCACGTGGCAAGGTATAGATTTATGGAAATGGACTAATTTAAGCTATAAGCACAGTTAGCAAGAAGCCTGCCATGGCCATACAGTTTATAAGTGATATAAGCATCTGAGTGATTATTTTATAAGTGGATTGTGGGACTGCGGGTGACAGAGATTTGTCCTGACTGTGGGCAAGGCAGGAAAACTCTAGCAACATCCCCCCACACCTCTTTCTCTTCTTCTTCCTCCAGGACAGCATTTCTTCTGCTTTCTTATCCCTGAATTATGATTCTGTAATTCACAAAGTCAGTTGTTTATAGATACAGGATTATTTGTGGGTTTTCTGTTCCATGGTCAGCATGTCTGTCTTTGTGCCAGTTCCATGATGACATTATGGCTCTGAAGTTTAATTTAAAGTCACAGGTAGACATGTCTCCAGCATTGCTCTTTTTGTTCCAGATTGCTTTGGATAGTTATGAAATTTTGGCTCTATAAGAATTTTAGGATGTATTTTTTTTCATTTTACCAATAACATCTTTGTATTATGATGGGTGTTACATTTAATCTGTAGATTACATTTAGAAGAATGTGCACTTCGAATATGTCCATATTGGTCCTCTTAGTCCATGAACATGGGAGGTATTCCTCTTACTGTTCATCTTCTTGTGTTTGCTTTGATGTTTTCAGCATATGGATTTGGTAGTTGTTTTGTTTGTTTGTTTATTTTGGAGACATGCTCTCATTATGTAGTAATGACTGTTCTGATACTCAATATGTAGACCAGATTGGCCCTAAACTCATAGAGATCCACCTCCCTGTGACTTTTGAGTGATGGTATTAAAGGCATGTGCCACCATGCCTGGCTACATGTAGGTTTGTTTGTTTGTTTGTTTGTTTGTTTGTTTGTTTGTTATTGTTTTGGTTTTTCAAGACAGGGTTTCTCTGTGTAGCTTTGCACCTTTCCTGGAACTCACTTGGTAGCCCAGGCTGGCCTCTAACTCACAGAGATCCGCCTGCCTCTGCCTCCCGAGTACTGGAATTAAAGGTGTGCACCACTACCACCCGGCTACATTACTATACTTTCAGGGACCATTTCTATAGTTCGTTACATGTAGGTTTTTAAAAATTATTTCTTTTATATTTGAGATTATAATATAATTAAATCCTCTTCCTTCCAAATACCCCCATATATTCCCCCTTGTTCTTCTTCAAATTCATGGCCTCCTTTTCGTTAATTCTGTTATATACATACATATTCCTAAATACATAAATACAACCTGCTCAGTCTATATAATTTCACTTGTATGCATCTTTTCAGAAATGACCACTTGGTATTGGATAATTAATTAGTATGTTCTTCCCTTAGAAAGACTATTTCTCCCACTTTCAGCCTTTCTTAGTTCCCTATATTTCTTTGTGTATATCTGATAAACATTTTTGAGAAGCACAGAATTGTGAAAGACTGTCCTACCTTGTCTTGGCAAAGTTTGGCAGTCACTTTCTTCTGTGTCCTCTTAGTCCAATTTGGACAGTATACTGTCACCAATTGAGGCAAAGGCAGTTTTTTTTTTTCCCAAATGGCTAGCTTTTGCCAT